AGTTTGCCTCCCACCCCAGCGACTTGGAGACAGCGATCTGGTCCCTCCACCAGGAGCAGCCTGTGGCCCCAGGGTACACCCATACCCAGCTAACTAGGAGGGGATAGGCCACACTCACGGATGGAGAAACCAAGGCACAGAGCTTGGGAAGAGGGAGCAAGCGGGCCACAGAGGTCCTTGGTCCCTCCCCTCCAGACCAGGTGCACCTCCCCCACCCAAGCATGCAGGCAAAACCTCTGCTGGCCAAGCCCAGGAGACCACCTCTGAAGCCCAACACCCTCCCGGGAAAGTAGGGGTCTGGAAGGAGCGTGCCCAGCATCTGGCCATCCCCAGCCCCATGTCAAGAGCCCGGAAAGGCCTCAGCCACCCTGGAGGAAGAATTTCTGGTTCAGTGCAGCCACAGGCCAAGGACCTCCAGGTGGCCTAACCAGCCCATGCAACACCATGGGGCAGGGGCACAGGGAGATTCTGGGGAGGCCCAACCTAGCAAGTGGGGGCCACTCCCAGATACAGGACAGTGGGCACCTCCTACCTGCTTGACAGCTGCCCCACAAGCCACTGCTCCCTGCCTTGAGCCTTGGGGTCCCCAGTGGACGCAGAGGTCATCATTCTAGCTTCTGCTCCCAGCCCCAGGGGACCTTTCCTGCCAAGAACCCCTGGGCTGATACAAATGTACACCCTATCCCAATCCCCCTCCCCCCTCCCCCCACCCTGCTGTCCCCAGGGACCCAGAACCTGAGGCAGAAGAAGCCGCACCAGAGGCCACCTGGGGCTGCAGGCCTGATCCACGGGACCCAGTGCCAGCCAGCCCCAGGCGCCCTGGGCAGGGAGTGTACCCAACCCTGGCTCCCCGCCAGGGCCAGGTGCCCAGGGGAATCCTGCCAGGCTATGGTGATGACGGCCACCTTGCCCTGTCCGCAGCCCTGGGGTTCCCACTGTGCACTTGGAAGCCCTTCTCAAGGGGGGACCCAGAATGGAGCTGGTCAGCCCAAGGGGTCCCAGGGCCAGGTGAGACAGGAGCCTCCCAGGCCCCAAGTGGGCAAGAGGATGCCTCCTTCTCAAGCCCCCACTCCAGGTCCCAGCCCCTTCTGGGCGTCATCCTGTAAAATCCCCCGGGGCCTGTTCAGAAACCCAAGCTGCCCAGGCCTTTCTGGTGCGTGCGCTGCTGCCGGCTGGGCAGGTCAACAGGAGACGCCCCTGTCCTTCCTAGGGCTGGGTCGGTGAGGGCCAGCATTGACGACATGCTTACTGCCCCAGCCCCTCTCCTCACCAGGGCTTCTGTCCCTGACAGCTGCTGTGCCCCATGCCCTCAGGACCCTGGCTGCCCCAGGCACAGAGGTGGGGAGCCTCGTGGTCACAGCTCCAAGCAATAGGACCCGGCCCCCAGAGGATCCTGGAGGGGGGAATCAGGAGATCAGCCTCAGGGAGGACAGCACCAAAGGACAAAAGGGTACAGGGACTTGGGCTGGCGGGGGGTTGGCACAGCAAGGACATTCCTGATGGTGAGAAAGCACCAGTGAGGGCTCGTGGACCTGCCGTGGGGTGTGGAGGAGGAGGAGGGGGAGGAGGGGAAGGGGGAGGAGGAGGGGAAAGGGGGGAGGACGATGGGGGAGTGCCTGACCAAGGGCAGACGGGTGGTGCAGGGAGGGAAGGTACAGGGTCCCTGCAGGGGCTCCAGGGGGGCTGGGCCCAGAGACCACAGAGCTTCTGAGCTGGATCGAGTCCCCCAGGCCATCCCTCTGTCCGGGGAACCAGGGCCTCCCGCGACCCCAGGGTCCCCAGGGCCGCCCCCACCCCCACCCCCGCAGCTGGCCCCAGAAAGCGGAGAGCGCGTTGCGGAGAGCGCCCGTCCCGTGACTCAGCCGAGCACCGCGAATGTCAGCGGGCGCGGAAAGCGGGCTGGGAACCGCCGAGCCCCC